AGAGTGTATGTATAGTTGTATCAGAGTGTATGTATCAGTTGTATCAGAGATCAGTTGTATTAGAGTGTATGTATCAGTTGTATCAGAGTGTATGTATAGTTGTATCAGAGTGTATGTATCAGTTGTATCAGAGTGTATGTATCAGTTGTATCAGAGTGTATGTATCAGTTGTATCAGAGTGTATGTATCAGTTGTATCAGAGTGTATGTATCAGTTGTATCAGAGTGTATGTATTAGTTGTATCAGAGTGTATGTATCAGTTGTATCAGAGTGTATGTATCAGCTGTATCAGAGTGTATATATCAGTTGTATCAGAGTGTATGTATCAGTTGTATCAGAGTGTGTGTATCAGTTGTATTAGAGTGTGTGTATCAGTTGTATCAGGGATCAGTTGTATCAGAGTGTATGTATCAGTTGTATCAGAGTGTATGTATCAGTTGTATCAGAGTGTATGTATCAGTTGTATCAGAGTGTATGTATCAGTTGTATCAGAGTGTGTGTATCAGTTGTATCAGAGTGTATGTATTAGTTGTATCAGAGTGTATGTATCAGTTGTATCAGAGTGTGTGTATTAGTTGTATCAGAGTGTATGTATCAGTTGTATCAGAGTGTATGTATCAGTTGTATCAGAGTGTATGTATCAGTTGTATCAGAGTGTATGTATCAGTTGTATCAGAGTGTATGTATCAGCTGTATCAGAGTGTATGTATCAGTTGTATCAGAGTGTATGTATCAGTTGTATCAGAGTGTATGTATCAGTTGTATCAGAGTGTATGTATCAGTTGTATCAGAGTGTATGTATCAGTTGTATCAGAGTGTATGTATCAGCTGTATCAGAGTGTATGTATCAGTTGTATCAGAGTGTATGTATCAGTTGTATCAGAGTGTATGTATCAGTTGTATTAGAGTGTATGTATCAGTTGTATCAGAGTGTATGTATCAGTTGTATCAGAGTGTATGTATCAGTTGTATCAGAGTGTATGTATCAGTTGTATCAGAGTGTATGTATCAGTTGTATCTGAGTGTATGTATCAGTTGTACCAGAGTGTATGTATCAGTTGTATCAGAGTGCATGTATCAGTTGTATCAGAGATCAGTTGTATTAGAGTGTATGTATCAGTTGTATCAGAGTGTATGTATAGTTGTATCAGAGTGTATGTATCAGTTGTATCAGAGTGTATGTATCAGTTGTATCAGAGTGTATGTATCAGTTGTATCAGAGTGTATGTATCAGTTGTATCAGAGTGTATGTATCAGTTGTATCAGAGTGTATGTATCAGTTGTATCAGAGTGTATGTATTAGTTGTATCAGAGTGTATGTATCAGTTGTATCAGAGTGTATGTATCAGTTGTATCAGAGTGTATGTATCAGTTGTATCAGAGTGTATGTATCAGTTGTATCAGAGTGTATGTATCAGTTGTATCAGAGTGTATGTATCAGTTGTATCAGAGTGTATGTATTAGTTGTATCAGAGTGTATGTATTAGTTGTATTAGAGTGTGTGTATCAGTTGTATCAGGGATCAGTTGTATCAGAGTGTATGTATCAGTTGTATCAGAGTGTATGTATTAGTTGTATCAGAGTGTATGTATCAGTTGTATCAGAGTGTATGTATCAGTTGTATCAGAGTGTATGTATCAGTTGTATCGGAGTGTATGTATTAGTTGTATCAGAGTGTATGTATCAGTTGTATCAGAGTGTATGTATCAGTTGTATCAGAGTGTATGTATTAGTTGTATCAGAGTGTATGTATCAGTTGTATCAGAGTGTATGTATCAGTTGTATCAGAGTGTATGTATCAGTTGTATCAGAGTGTATGTATCAGTTGTATCAGAGTGTATGTATCAGTTGTATCAGAGTGTATGTATCAGTTGTATCAGAGTGTATGTATCAGTTGTATCAGAGTGTATGTATCAGTTGTATCAGAGTGTGTGTATCAGTTGTATCAGAGTGTATGTATCAGTTGTATCAGAGTGTATGTATCAGTTGTATCAGAGTGTATGTATCAGTTGTATCAGAGTGTATGTATCAGTTGTATCAGAGTGTATGTATTAGTTGTATCAGAGTGTATGTATCAGTTGTATTAGAGTGTATGTATCAATTGTATCAGAGTGTATGTATCAGTTGTATCAGAGTGTATGTTCAGTTGTATCAGAGTGTACGTACCAGTTGTATCAGAGTGTATGTATCAGTTGTATCAGAGTGTATGTATCAGTTGTATCAGAGTGTATGTATCAGTTGTATCAGAGTGTATGTATCAGTTGTATCAGAGTGTATGTATCAGTTGTATCAGAGTGTATGTATCAGTTGTATCAGAGTGTATGTATCAGTTGTATCAGAGTGTATGTATTAGTTGTATCAGAGTGTTTGTATCAGTTGTATCTGAGTGTATGTATCAGTTGTATCAGAGTGTATGTATCAGTTGTATCAGAGTGTATGTATCAGTTGTATCAGAGTGTATGTATCAGTTGTATCAGAGTGTATGTATCAGTTGTATCAGAGTGTATGTATCAGCTGTATCATAGTGTATGTATCAGTTGTATCAGAGTGTGTGTATCAGTTGTATCAGAGTGTATGTATCAGTTGTATCAGAGTGTATGTATCAGTTTTATCAGAGTGTATGTATCAGTTGTATCAGAGTGTATGTATCAGTGGTATCAGAGTGTATGTATCAGTTGTATGTATAAATATTAAGTCTAGATTGTATATAATAATTGTCTATATAAGCCTGTAGAGCCTATTGTTCTGCTTGTATGTGAACTACTATGTCATGATTTTTCTGTATATGTTAACCCGTTCTCATATTTTTGTATACAACTAAAGATGGATGCGTTTAATTAAGGTGACTAAATTTTAGCATACCTTTCTAAACAATAAACAATACAAATACGAATACATAAACGCGTACACATACACACCGGAGTTTCTTACAGGCATCTCTTCGGGGGGAGGCGGGAGGGGGGGGGGCGGAAATTGTTTTACCGACCCCCCCCCCCCGAACGATATGAAATTTATATAATTTATATAGAAAATATATACTTTTAAGTGACCGCCCCCCCCCCGAAGAAAGTCTACCCCCCCCCCCCCCCCCGAAAACTTCAAGAGCCCCCCCCCCCCCCCCCGGAGAAAAAAGTCTGGAAGAAACACTGATACACACACACATAACCACCAGTACAAAAGCACTCGCGTCTGTTGTACGTTAGCTTTATTTCCTAGCACAACTACAGTGCACAACAGTTTTGTTTCGTTCAATACATCCGCCATCTTTTCACACCAAAAATAAAATTGACGATCGTTCGCACGACTCAAAATATTTTTTTTCTCTCCCCCTTTCTCGCTTGTCATCAATTTAAATGTGCAACCGAAGCGAGAAAATATCGCTTTTGACAGGAGATCGATTTTAAACGCAAAACCGGAAGTGGCCACAGCGATTATCAGCGGGAGTTCTTTCCCCTTAGTGCAAGACCAAAATCCACAGTGTCAACACAAAACGCGAGATGTAGAATTTTAATGCAGTCGTTGTGTTGTAATGGGTCGGTCTGTTGTAGTTCAGTTGTGGTGCTGTTATATGTTAGTTATGGTACTGTTATAATTTAGTTATTGTTATGTTACAGGCTAGTTGTGTTATGTTAAAGTTTAATTTTTGTAACATTCTAAATTTTGTTCTAAATATGTCTTTTTAATATCCCTTTTTTAAGTGGAACTTTCTTCAATAGGACCGACATTAGTGTAGGCTTAAGATTAAGATTATAGTTAATCTACTACCAAACTAGTTTAGTACATTTCTCCAGTTACATCCCAGTGTTGAAGAAGTTTTTGTATTCCTAATTTGACGTTATTACCTGGCAGAGTTTCTTCCAGGCATTTCTGGGGGGGGGGGGGGGGGGGGGGGGGGGGGGACGGGGGGGGGGGGGGGGCGACGGGGGGGGGGGGGGCACGATTCCCCGATGAAGGTCTAACGCCCCCCGAACGAAATTGAATTTATAGAGAAAATATATACTTTTAACAATGTCCGCCGTCCGCCCCCCCGCCGGAATTTTAGTCCGCCCCCCACTAAAATTTTAAGTGCCCCCCTCCAAGCATTGAAAAAAAGTCTGGAAGAAACACTTTTACAAGTTCGTCTGGCCATTTCAAAAATAGACTTAATTGTTTCCCCCTGACCATAGCCCCAGAGTCATATCTAGGGGACGGCGAATGGACATGTGCCGACCCCTGGGGCGGGGGGAGGGGGGGGGAGGGCGCCAATCGGGGTAGAAAAATAAAATTAAAAGCTCATTTTGAGCTGCATTCATTTATCACACACAGCCGAAGTTAAGAAAATAAAAATGTCTTTTCGGTTTTATGTTTTTTTAAGCTGTTTTCTAAATCCATTGTCGCATACCAATAGGTAAAGTAACTGGTAAAACTCGCCCTCCCCTCGACGTATTCATAGGGTGCTTTTTCGCTGACGTCAATAATTATATAAATAGAAGAGTGAGCAAAAATTAATTGTTTCCCTTTGCTCCAGAATGGATCGCCATGCCTTTGAATATCACCTCTAACTTTCGAACTTTCGAGATAAAAAATCTGCTTTTGTTTTTGCTTTGCCGCTTATTAGAGGTAAATTCTAAACTGCTTCTTAATTGCAAATGAAAATGGAAATAGCAACTCTAAAATAAAAAAAAAAATCGACAAATCGATTTAGTGTTTACGTAATGATCAAGTTATAATTTGAACTGTATAACCTAAATAGATTTCTCATTATTAAAAAACATTGTAGATGTGTTTATGGCAGAGGCGTAGCGACCCTTCCCGGCGCTCGGGGACAAACTTTCGATTTGCAACCCCCCCTCGAACTTTTCATTTGCACCCCCCCCCCTCAAACTTTCAATTTGTTTTCTCCAACCCATTTTTGGCGCCCCCCCCCCCTAAGGTCCGCGCCCCGGGTACATATGTCTCCCGCCCCCTCCCCCCTCGCTACGCCTCTGGTTTATGGATTTTAAATATTTTTTGTCGTTCAG